AGCAGCAGAGTGCCCTGGACAGGTAACTGGCTGGGGCTGTGGGCAGAGCTCTGGGGCTCTGCACCCACTTGGTGTTTTAGGGGGTGATGGCTAGAGCTCAGGGATGCAGCCGAGGTCAGACACGGGCACTGGCAGGGAACAAAGCCCAGTCCCAGTGAGCGGCTCGACCCGTGGACCCTCCTCTTGCTGCTGTTCTGTGGGAGCACAGGGGTGGAGCAGAGTGAGCACAGAAACTGCGTGTGCTCCCTAGGAACAGCCCTCTCTGACTCATGGCAATAAAACCTAAACTGGGGTTTGGCTGTCCCCTGATGCTGCTGTGTAACCCCACAGCCAACAGGTTAGAGACCTGGAGGGGTTGCAAGGCAAGAGGGAAGACTAGGCTTTTTTACTTTTCCCTGCTGCTGTTTTGTCCCTTGCACACCCTCGAGATGTGTGCTGTTCACCTGAGTAACTGGGTGTTTTTTTGTGTATTAAGCCCTGCCTGTCTGGGCAGTAACAGGAGCCAGCTCTCAGCTGTGAGACGAGTCTTGGAGAGGGAGACCCACTCCCCGTTTTATCAGGAAGGTGTGAGCTATGCCCTGTTGAAGGTCACTGAGCTGGGGCTCGTTCCTGCTGCAGAAATCCTCCTGGAGTTCGGAGCTGACCTCAGCTTTGAAGGTAAGGCTGGTGGGAGGGGGCTGGGCCTGGCCAGGGGAACCAGCTGGTGAGAAGCTGCCCTGGGAGGTGGTGATGGCTGATGCAGAAAGAGGGGTGCTGCCGGCTCAGCCCTCCACTTCTTGCTGGGATAGCATGGATATGCCTTGTGGCAGCTTGTCCAGACCCAGCTATGCGGATGGACTGGGGGGTGGCAAGGCTTGGGGGCCACTCTGCAGCTTTGGAGGCTTTTGCCAGAGATGGAGCCATTGCAAAAGCAGGACCTGGTGTGTCTGTGACAGCCCTGTGTTCTCAGGGCCCTCCCCAGCTGCTCCCTTCCACTTTAGGCAGGTGCCAGGGCTGTTTTGGGGAAGCCCTTAGTTTTGACTCTGTGCTTTTGTCCTCAGATCCAGTCACCTACTACACCCCTCTGCACATCGCGGTGCTCCGCAACCAGCCGGATATGGTGGAGCTCCTGGTGCACCACGGGGCTGACATCAACCGGAGAGACCGGGTATGGGTTTGCCTTCCTGGGCAGGGCCAGTCTGAGACCCCTTGAGCTTTGGATATGAGGGACCAGTGTGCAGGGACAGTCTCCACCTCCCAGGTTTCTCTGCCTGTTGCATCCCCTTGGTGATCTTCTGTGCCTGTTGTCTCTAGTGCTCCGATGCTGTGGCAGAAGTTGAGGTCACTTCTGGCAGAGCAAACCTTCTGCTGTGGAGCTATGGTTGGGAAGAGGCTGAGGGAGGCAAACCTCTCCCTGTGGATGCATTGGGGAAGGTTCACTTTGTTTTTTGGGGATGGGTTGAAATACACTTTTACATTGGCCATGATGAAGCCCCAGCAGTGACTCTCAAGAGGTGCTCACAAATAGTCTTTAATACTTACTAGAGGTTTTTCTTTTCCCCTCTTGCTCTGTGCAGATCCACGAGAGCAGTCCCCTCGATCTGGCGAGCGAGGAGCCCGAGCGGTTGCCGTGCCTCCAGCGCCTGCTTCAGCTGGGTGCTGATGTCAACGCAGCTGACAAAAACGGTGTGTGTACCCTGTCAGGCTCCCCCAGCCTGGGTGCTCCCGGCAGTCGGCCCTCAGGGGTGGGCTAGAGCAAGTGCTCTCTGGTTACAAACTGGTTTGGAAGTTGGGTGCAGACTGCAGAACCTCCCTGGTGCTCTGTGTTTTCTCCTTGGGGGCTGGCTGTGTGGGGTGCAGAAGAGGGCTGACACTAGGCTGTCAGAGACGCGATGGGGCTGTTTCCTCACAGCCCTGTGGTGCTTGCATGCTCTAAAGCTCACTCTGCTGTTGCACCTGTGCCCTCTGGGGCCACCACCAGCCCTGCATGTGTGGCCTCTGACTCTGTCCCCATAGCCCCATCACAGGGACAGTGGAAGTCTGCCAGAAGGAGAAGGGTTGTTTCGCCGTGGTTAATGGGGTGGATGGTTTTCCTTCCTGCCCTTTGGTGCGTCACCCTATTTTCATGTAACGGATGGATTGCTCTGTTGTAGGAAAGACAGCGCTGCTGCACGCCCTGGCCAGCAGTGACGGAGTCCAGATCCACAACACTGAGAGCATCCGTCTCCTGTTGGAAGGAGGTGAGGGCGACCTTCTCCCCTCTCCACACACAACCTCTCCAGGCCTAGCGCTGGCTGATTTTTTGTACAGCACCTCCCAACTCTTTATGTTCCCACTTTTAAGAGTGAAGCCCAACAGTGCCGGTGATAGTGCTGTCCTGGCCTCATTTTCTACAATGCCAGTTACATTCTCTGTCGTTTCCTCCAGGTGCAGATGTCAGGGCCACCACCAAAGATGGTGACACTGTCTTCACCTACATCATTTTCCTGCTGGGAGAAATGGCGTGCAGCAGCACTGAGGAGGCACAGGTGATCAATCACTTCTGCTTTCGTGTCACACAGCTGCTGCTGGCCCACGGTGCTAACCCCAGTGAGTGCCCAGCCCCCGAGTCCCTCACTCATCTCTGCTTCAAAAGCTTCAAACTCCACTTCCTACTGCTGCGTTTCTTGCTGGAGTCAGGTGCTGCCTACAACTGCTCCCTCCATGGTCCCTCGTGCTGGTCAGGCTTCCACATCGTCTTTGAGTGCCTCTGCTCGCACCTCAGTGTCTCTGAAGATGATAGCTTCTCTACAGACCTCATCCAGAAGGGTCAGACTCTGCTGGAGCTCATGATGGCCAGTTCACAAGCCATCCAGCTGCCCAGCAACTTTGAAGTCAACACCAGTAGTTGTAGGTACCACGGGGAAAAGATCAGGACTCTCTTCTGCTCTCTGAAGCAGCTGGAGCGCTCCCCACAGGCCTTGAAACATCTCTGCAGGGTGTTTATCCGTCAGCGCCTTAAGCCGTGGCCAGTAGATGTCAAAATCAAGGCTCTACCTCTTCCAGACAGGCTGAAGTGGTACCTCCTCATTGACCACGCTGCTGCCGGGCACGAGGACCTTTGAGCCTGACTAATGTCTCTCCGTTTCCCCGCTCCACCATCGTGGTGTTGCCTACAGCTACCAAATCTCTGCTCTGGGCCAGGTTTCTGCACAAGAGGTGGACTGTCCACATGCCGTCTACACACCTACGGCTTGGCCAGTGCTGCCCACGGTGCCCCTCCCCGCTGCGGTGGAGCGGGGTGTGTGTTCGGGCATGATGCCAAACGTGCGTCTGTGGAGGCCTTACTGCTCTGGGACACACTGTGGGGACGCAGGCGGAGCCCCAAGGCTCCCTGGGGGGGAAGAAAGCCCCCAGACATGAGGGAGTTGGATACTGAGCAAGGGGCTGGTTTGTGCATATTTTAAGAAAAGGCCTGGAGGGCAGGACCGGTGAGGTGGGGTGACTGCACCGACAGCCTGTCCCCTCTCTTTGCAGTCCTGCTGGTCCCATGGTGGGTGAAGCTGTGCCTTAGCAGAGTCACTGGGGCTGGGAGGTGTTCCGAAGAAAGCCCCCAGACATGAGGGAGTTGGATACTGAGCAAGGGGCTGGTTTGTGCATATTTTAAGAAAAGGCCTGGAGGGCAGGACCGGTGAGGTGGGGTGACTGCACCGACAGCCTGTCCCCTCTCTTTGCAGTCCTGCTGGTCCCATGGTGGGTGAAGCTGTGCCTTAGCAGAGTCACTGGGGCTGGGAGGTGTTCCCTGTGCCAGGACAGCGCTGGCATTCGTGTCCTGGTTTCCTGCCTCTGGTCCTGGTAGGAGCAGCCATGGCAGAGGCAGGTCTGGCATCTCCACGTGGGTGCGGATGTCTTCCTCGCTCCGCTGGGCTTCTGAAACCAGGGTGGGGTGGGAGTGAGGGGAAGCGGAGCTGGTAGCGGTGGCCGGTTGCTCTGTACCCTTGGAGTTTCTGCTGGGAGCACCCTGTCCTCCCAGCATGTAGGACTGTCCACCAAGGACATCTCGGCGGTGCTGGGCTCCAAAACAAACAGACAAATGGATGTTTCTCAGCTTTGGTGCATTCCCTGTGGCTGTGGAGGAACAGGCAGGTAACTGCTGAGTGCCTTGTACCTCCCTCCCTGTTCTTTGGTTCTCCCTTGCTGACTGCTCCTCAGACTTTGGTCTCCAGTGTCTCCTTCCCAGGAACAAGAAATCGCAGCAGGACTCGGGGTTTTCTTTCCAAGCCGCAACTGGAACCTGCAAACTCGGGAGCTGCACATGGAGGTCCCATGTCCCAGCTGTCTGGCTTCCCCTTCTGGGCATCTGCTTCCTCGTGATGTGCCAAAAACTGGCTGCAGAGCTGAGCGCCGTGTGCTTTTGTTGTTTCATTTTTTGTTTGTCGCAGGGGACAGATGCAGAAGAGGATGAGAAAAGGAAAAAAAATCTGCTCAAGTACATAGTTTATAGCAGGTGGATCTGGGATCCACCAGCAGGTTGCCTGCAGAAAGGCTGTTTCTGCCCACCATTACCCTCCTGGCAGCATCTGAGTTTTACCTTCTCCCACCCTATGGAACTGGAGCTTGTGCATCTTGATGAAGTGATGTTTAAAAAAATAATAATGTGATCAAATACTCCCCTGGTGTCTGGAATGGGAAATGAGTGATTAAATGAGGCCTTTTTTTATAATAACAAGGGGCTTGTTTCTCCTGCGGGAGAGATGGAGTTAAGGAGAGGCCTCTGTGGGGATAGTTTGGGGGGGGAATTTGTATGTGAGCTTGAGACGTGCTGCAGCTGAGGTCTGCACCACCTGGCACGCAGGGCGCAGTCTGGATAAAGGATGTGGCCACGGAGGCGACGGGAGCGTTTGAAGCCGGGTGATGGTTGGGGTGTTGGGGGAGCAGCTGTAGTGTCGCAGCGTTTCAGCGGGAGGTGCTGGGGGTCACCGTGAGCTTGTGGTAATGGGCTGGGGGGGGTTGGAGGCAGCTCAAGGTGGTTTCTTGTTAATGCCCAGAGGACACCAGCTCTCTCCCAGGGCTGCAGGGCTTTGTCTGGGTTACCCCTACCTCTGGAGGAGGATGTGGGGAACCCAGTGTTACATCCTCCTCCTCTTCTGCTGCACATGTGACACCTCGTGGGTTTAAAAGAGAGGGCCCCCCTAAACCCCAAAACCTGGTATTGCCTCCCCGATAGCTGAAGGGAAATGGCAGAGTTTGCTCCCATTGTGAGCAGCACCAAGTTGAAGAGTGGTTGGTCAAACACCCAAGCAAGGAAGGGAGCCCAGACCCTCAGAGGTGCTCCGAGACCCCATTCACTAACAGGAGCCCTATGTGACTGTGGCCGGTCGGCAGGAGCAACTCTCCTGCAAGGGAGACCCTTTTGCTCCTGTATACCGCCCTCCAAAGGTGGCACTGAGCCAATGTGCCTTGTCTGACAAATCCCACGTGCAGAAGTGCAACAGCAGGAAAATGTATTTGGCAAATGCCTCTTTTTCACAAACAGCAGCAACTTGGAAGACAAAGCCCCGTCCTTGCCACCAGCCCCGGAGCGAGGGAGTCAACGACGCCCTCGCCGCTGTCTGCCACCCCACAGTGAAGGCACGGTCCTCACCCCTCCCGGCCCCGGCAGGAACCAGCGTGCTGGCCCGTGCTCTGAGATGGCCCTGGAGAGACCTTCTCCCACCGCTGGCCGCCCTCATCTCATGG